TGATCAGAGAGAAGAAATGAAATAAAATTGTATTCCATGTATAACCTCATCCGCGCGAGACTTCGGTACTTTGAATATGATACTCCAACGAAAATGCAACTTGGGTTTGTTATGCGGCGGGCAGAAAGATAAAAATAATTTTTTTTAGTAATTTTTTGCACTTACAAGCGAGAAATTACGCTGAAATTAAATTTTATTTTTATTTCATTTTCGACTCCTGTTTATATGGCGGGTTCACGAAACAAGGGATAATAAAAGTCTGGCCTTAGTAATTAATTAATTTTAAAAATTTTCCAAAAAATTTTGGCCAAAATTTGTGTAACTGAGATTGTTTTCGACAAAAATTTAATCTGTGCACTTCAATACACCAATGAGTGTTGAATTATAAATTATCCCTTAAAAAAAGTAATAAATAATTTTTTTCGAAATATTAAATAATTTTTACAATTTTACAGTGATTCACCTGTAAGCATATTTTTCTGCTTTCCATTTTTTTAATACAGGTTGCAAAGCAAGCAGCAAAGGAAGTTATTCTGGCTCAAGTTTCGAGACAAGGAAAATATCAGTTATTGAAGAAAGCCATCATAGACGTCCAGAATAAATCCCAAGAAATGGACAAAACTCATACAATACTGAAAAACCAGAACAAAATACTACGCAAGGAGTTGGAGAAATTACAAATTCGTGATGAGTATCGAGGAAGTGTTGAGGAAGCCAACAAGGAACTGAAAGACATGGTAGCAAACTTGACAGAAGAAAATAGAAATTTGAAGCGTGAAATTGAAAGGCTCAGAGATCAAGTTGATGAACTAAAAGGATGTAAAGATATACCATTAGTTCAAAACTCAATTATTGAATCTGAAGAATATGAATAAGTCAGACAAAATGAGTATTTATGAATATTCAAAATATTTTAAAAATTGTGATGTCAGATTTCGTCCAATGTTCAATAGTTGCTGCAGTACAAGATGAGTTCAACCAAAAGCACATTTTTTTATCCAACTTAGGGAGCCCGAATCCACCTCAAGACTGTTTTTATTGTAATGTCAAAGAGATACACTAGAGGCAAAGATGTTGACAGTAAACTAGTTCCAAATCAGTAAAAGGTTGTTTTTAAATGAGTGAAAGCGCAAAATTTGATAAGCAGTCATAAGCAGTGTGCATGCAGTTGAATAAAATGTAATTTTCAGAAATTTTGTACAGTACGAATATGCATGGTCAGAGTACACTTACTAACAGTCACTAATTATAGTATCCTCAACTGCTCGAGGTTTAGTCTTACTACTGAGTATGTTACTGTACTGTGCAATGCATTATGGGATAAAACTTTTCATTTTATGTAATGGAAAACTATTATCATTGTGGAAACTGACTAAATTATGTAAATTTTTTTGAAATGGTTTATCAGTATTAAAGATTCGTATACATGTATGACATTTTATTCTAGTTTTTAAGATATCCTAATCTCGCCATAGAAACTAGTGTAGAAAAGATCAATTTGATGCTTGTGTCTCGTAAAATCATTTGATGACCCAAATTGTTATTGCATTTCGGTATCCTGATGGCATGAACACATAATAATGAAAGTAAGATTATACTCTTCAATTCAGCTTGAACTTCTTAAAAGGGCGGTGGTCGCCGTGCCACGTATGCGTGACATATGGGACTCATACAAACAAAGATGGCGACTTCGACTGTTGCTCAAACCAACGAGTACAAATTGAGACGTTACTATGCTTTAACTATGTAATTTCTCTGGTGATTGGAAGGTGTCAAAAGAGTTGGTGGCGGTAATTAGTGCATGTAGCGCCCAGGTCAAAACTTGTATTCGCGATTTCCATCAGACGAGCCTGAGTGCATTGAACTGTGGGAAAATCAATGTTTATCAATACAAATGTCACACATGTGTGGCACGACGACCAGCACCCTTTAAGGGTACCTTGAGGTACAGTCCCTCCACAAGGGAGGGGCTGTTCTTGAAGTGAAATAACCAAATGCACACAGGTCAATCGGGTCATGAGACCACCTGTTGCATGTCAATTGAATGAGATCAACAGTCAACAAGCCATGCATGGCACAGTCCCCGTTAGTTATGAAATGTAAGATATATAGTTTTATTTATAGTAATATAGCTGGAATATAACCATGTCAGGAATATGATTTTTTAACATTAAAATGATTGATATTTGTATCTGATCATCAAACAAGTACTTGTCCATATTGAGAAATATTGCTCTGGAACAGCATTCAAAATCAGCCATTTTGAATACATGTATATATATAACATGATGTATAACGAATATATAAAATTTGAATATATAATCAGTCAAAGCATTTAAGAGATATGGCTCTAGAAGCCCAATCATTAAAACAAAATGGCCGCCAGTCAGCCATTTTGAATCCAATCTGAGAAATACTTGATTTTTAGGATTTTTTAGCACAAAAATGGCCGCCATTCGGCCATCTTGAATCAGATAGTAAAACAAAATGATGTGCATCAAGGTCCTATAATGTCCAACGCATATACAAGGTTTGAACAAAATCCATCTGTAAACAGCTGAAAAAATGTTTGATTTTGATGATTTTTAGCACAAAAATGGCCGCCATTCGGCCATGTTGAATTAGATTGTGAAACAAATTGACGTGCATATGTATAATATCATGTATTATGTATGTGTGAAGTTTGATTGTGATTGGTCCAGACATTTCTAAGATACAGGTCCGGACGCACGCACAGACGCACGCACGGACACACGAACGAACGCACGAACACACGAACACACGGGAACTAATAATGTGCTAAGGTTGGATCACATGTCAGAATAGCAGTGATGTCATAGTTTAAAAGAGATTGTCACAGCTGTAATATGTTCTATGTCATAGTTCAACAAGAGGATGTCAAAAGACAACCATGTCAGATGTCATAGTTCTCTCATGTCAGATTGAAACAACAAACAAGCTCCTCTCTGATTGGTTTGACAGGTGTTAAGATTGTTTAGCCAATAAGATACAATCTTGCAAGTAGGTTTGCATGAACTTGCATATTACTGTCATAGTTTGACTGATGAATAATTGAATTCATAAACTTCCATTATATTATTTGCTTCCTTCACAATGAAGGAATTACGGCATGACAGGGTAATTTAAAACTTGTATTTTATTTTATTATTGTTTGAGTAAAGTAATGTTCTCAAAAAATTAAGAATTGATTCAAAGAATTTTAGTAAATTTCAATCAATATGAAACTAGTCCATTCAAACCACCCTGACGATATACTACTCACTTCTTAAAACTTAATCCCCCACAGGTTTTGGGTACATTTATCTGTTAATCCCCACCATAGGTGTGGAAAAAGTTGCATTAGAATGGGCATGAACAAATAATCCTTGATAGCATTGTTCAGAGACAATCGGTAGTCAAATATACCAAAATTAGCATATCAATAGGTAACTTACAAGGGGCACTATTTTAGGAAAGGAGTTAACATTTTTGGGCCGAGTAGGATACCGTCAACGAATACTTAATGCTATTACAAGTCTATAACACAGTCCCTGTCAAATATTTAGCCAGTCTTTGTACTATGTTAATTTGAACCTGAGAGACCAAGCATGCATTGTGTGCCAGAAAAGATGTGTGGAAGGGTCGAAAAAAACAAAAGGAAAATGACAGAGAGCCAATACCAGTTGATGGCGCACATCAATACTTGGCTGTTGTACTGTTTGTGAAAATTGTTTTCATACATGTATATATCAAATAAAAGATAAACAAAGTTATGGATTTATATTGCGATAAATGACAAAAGATGACTGGTATTTAATCGATTGAAGCCAAAATATGCCATTAATTTATGTACCAGTAAATGAGTGTATGCTGCTTATACATGCTTTGTACCGTAAAATCTGTATTAGAAGCTGCAGCCCTAATAGAAGTTCTTTTTAAACAATTGAGAACCAAGATTTCATCATTTCTCATATATGTAGATGCTCTATAATAGAAGCCGCATCCTATCTGTTTCATTGTACCATTTTAATAGAAGTCGTAGCTTCTAATACAGAGTTCACAGTAGTTAAATGGATTTCCCTAACACAGAAAATATCATATATAGATATCATTGTTACATGCGTGTATGGACTGCTTGGGCAATATCAATATGTTTATATCAGGGAGCGATTCTGTTAAAAATTCATATCAGTAGCTAGCCTATTAAGCTAGGCAACTCTGTAATCTTTATCTGACAGGAATTTATACCATTCCAGGCATACATTTGAGAACTGAGCATTTTTTTAAATGAAAGATAATCTGTTAACAGCTCACAGTTAATGAATTAGACAGCAATTCATTTTTTCTCTGTCATTATTTACATATTTATCTCATTGCCCTCCAACATCTTATGCATCAATTATGGAAACCACATTTAAATCCTGCATGACCAACAACCAATCAGAACCTCTGATACATAGCGCAAACACAGAGTATCCTTTATTGTAAGGTACTTTCTAATTGCTTTAAAGTGGAGTCATAGAAAATAGTTGTTTAATGTATTCAGGGTAACCATCAGTTACAACATAGGCACAACACAAACAGATGGTTACATATTCAAAAGCACATCATACATCTCTGATGAATCAAAAAAGATTTTTAACTTACAAAAATAGTAAATTTTTACTATATAATATTCAGTACACATTAAATTGATATCAATTTGCGTTGTCCATTCATTCATTAATATTCATGGACTAATTATTATTCATATTAATATCAAAGTTGGCTTGACACAGATTTTTTTTAATTTTCAGTGGTCTACCTGAAAAATATTAAAAATTAAAAAAATCAATTAAAAGATTTTATAACTTTGAAATATGTAAAATCAATAACCAATTTTTCTTTATTACACTTGGTGTCTGAGGAAGATCTCATTTCAAGCCCCAAAAGACAATTTTGTGGTTGTTGTTGATCGGCCACATTCCAGCATGAGACAGTAATTCAATGAAACAACTTGAAATTTAAAACTCTTGAACCACTCGTTCAATATTTCAATGTTTTTTTCAATTCTCAGTGGTCTACCTGAAAAATATTAAAAATAAAAAAAATATAAAAAATCAATTAAAAGATTTTATTACTTTGAAATATGTAAAATCAATAACAAAAATTTTTTTCATTACACTTGGTGTCTGAGGAAGATCTCATTTCAAGCCACAAAAGACAATTTTGTGGTTGTGTTTGATCGGCCACATTCCAGCATGAGACAGTAATTCAATGGAACAACTTGAAAGTGAAAACTCTTGAACCACTTGTTCAACATTAACTTCATTTATTGCTTTATTATTATTTATTACACACTTCAGATGTATTTACAAAAGTATACTTCTGGTGAGTACAGAGACTTGTAGAATGCCATAATGGCACAAATGTTGCATAAATAAAGTAATCTAACACACACAGTTGAGT